TCCGTGGCTTGATGCCAGGTGTGGAGGTAAGCGATCGTGATGCACTTCTGAGCCAAATGGCAAGAAAAAGCCTAGAATATGAATGAGATTTCTCAAGAACTGCTGTTAAATATCGTGTATGTGACCATAGAGCTGTAATTAATATAATTAATTATAATTCGATTAGGTAGCTATATACAGTAGAATCAACCCGGGCACTTTTAGTGTCCGTAAACACAAGCTTCATGCATATAAAAAAGACCGTGAGAGAATTGTAAAATTGTTGGGCTTTCACTCGAAGGTTCGAAATGTCTGCTCTAAACTTCAAAAATTACGTGGCCAAAATATCAATCAGGTTTTGATAACAGGGCTTCGACAGAGATACCTAATTGGTACATCAATCTTCGGAAGTCGTCTAGGTTCAAAGTGTGTGTCACGTCGGGGCATCCGTAACCATTTCTGTTGTACGCATACTTTCATTTCACCTCAAAAAATCAAATGGTAGTGCGCACCTTTTCCAGGTAATTGAAATGAACCATGTATATTTCGATTTCAAATTAGTTGAACAACAATTTTCTGCCAAATACCTTGTCAAGACCATCGCAGAGAAACCAGTACATGTACTCGCCAGCAAACCTTAATTATCTACTAGAGTGGGCGTAACCTACTATACGACAACAAAGAAAAGGGTGTATTAGATTAAAGAAAAAAGCACTCTTGGCTAAGAACACCTTGTCAGCAAGACGTGACTCTGTCGAAGATATACTCCATTCGCGTCACACTCGTCGGCGTTACCTTGTCGGGATCTTGGTCGACTTGGTGGTTTGTTGTGGCCCGTCGGCCGTTGGTGTACGCCACACTGCTCTCGATGCTACTGCGGGGGCTGTTTGAGTTCAACAATCCCGCTTTACGCTCCTGGATTTTCTTTATGATGAAGTTCAGGCCTAGGAGCCTCTTGAACGCCACGCGGAAGTCCCGGTTGAAGATGCTGTAGATGATGGGGTTGAGGGTGGAGTTGAAGTACCCCAGCCAGGTCAGGGTACTGAGGAGGGCCGGCGGCGGGTCGCACCGCCCGCCGCACATGGGCGAGATGATGTTAAGCAAGAAGAACGGCACCCAGCAGAATAGGAACACCCCCATGATGATGCCAAGGGTGACAGCCGCCTTGTGGTCCGAGGCGGCCTGGTTGCCGTGGCAGGAGGAGTCCGGGTTGTCGATCTTGCCCAGCCGGCCCATGCGAGCGTTCCGCACCCGCTCCCGGACCGCGCTGAAAATGCGGGTGTAGATGGCGATCATCACCACGCAGGGCAGGAAGAAGCTGATGGTGGACGACACTACCGCGTAGGTCGGGTTCAGATCCAGCACACAGCTGATGAACGGGTTGCTCTCCACCAGCACTGCGGCCGGAGTCGGCGGCGGGGTGGTGGAGGCTTTGGCCGGGGCGCCAAACTCCTTGTGGAGGCCCAGTTGGATGGGTAAGAACGACACCAAGGCGGACATAATCCAGACCATGGCTATGGCCAAGAGGGCTCGCTTGTTGGTTATCCATCGGTAATAGGCAAATGGTTTCTTGATGTGCAAGTAGCGATCCACGCTTATTGCGCATATATTCAAGATGGAAGCGGTGCTGAACATGACGTCGAAGGAAATCCACACGTCGCAAAACTCGGGACCGAAAGCCCAGTACCCGAGGAGATCGTTGGCCATACCGAACGTCATGACAAGAATGGAGACCAGTAGATCCGCCATCGCTAGCGACACGATGAAAGAGTTGCCCGTCTTCCGGAGTTTATCCTCTGTTGCTACGGCAACGCAAACCAGCACATTGCCCACGATAGACAGGATGATCAGCGTTGATAGAACCAGCGCGATGACGACGGTCTCGGCCACCGTCAGATGAACGGTAACTTCGGCCGATGACTGGTTGGTGGGCCAGCCCTGGAGTTGGTAGCCGGAACTGCTGGCCACCCCGACAGTGTTCCTCGAGTATTCCCCGTCCGACAAGTTATATCCAAGGCCGTCTCCGAGCAGGGAGGTGTTGGCGAGACTATCGGACCGATTTCCGGTCTCCACTGCCCCCAGAATCGACGGAGGTGTCGACCGCAGTTGCATATTTCCCGAGTGCACATTCAGCGAGGACTGTTTCCGATGGCTGCTAATTTTGAAGTCTCTCGAAGACTATTTTACACTTGAAGAAATTCTGAACATGCGCAATTTTAAAACCGAGTCGTGCTGGTACCACCTGCCTTGATCGGCATCTTAAAAATAGATCACACGATCACATTGCACCCCTAAATATACATGTTAACAGCTGAAAATAAAGCAACCCGTGCGCATCGGCGTTCCATAATGTTACAATTGGCGACAGACGTTGGAAGAATGTGTAAAGGACACTGAGCGAAGTTGTTCCCGACTCACGTTGCTCGACAGAGAATACGAGGGCCGAGTTTGTCACACGGCAGACAGACAGCCTTTGGAACACCTGGTGACGTGCCAGCGTGCCGAGCGGGTAGTCATCAAGCAATGAGCGTATGTTAGCGGGGGTGGTGAGATCTCCAGCTGCTTATTCTCACACTACATTAAAAAAAAAACCAAGCGCTGCGCAGTCGAGTCGAGTGGAACCGAAATGCTGGACCGCTGATTTGTTGTCGGCGTGTACGCGGTGAATTCTGGTCTTAGACTGGCTGCCCTGTCCCTGACTGCACTTTACCCCGGCTGGCCTCAGACGGGTGATGTATTGTCACGAGCAAGCGTTGGCAAGCACCGCCTCTCGCTTCGCATGCCGTTAAGGATCAATCTCGTTGGTTGGCACATCGCGGCCGACCGTGCGAGAATTCAGGCGAGATCAATACTGCCACAGTCGCGCCCCACCTGACGTGACGGAGACCGGCAACGCGCTGACGTAAAAGCATTCATCCCTTGAACATTAAAAAAGGGGCAAAAAAGAAGCGGAAGAAGCCAAACACAGGATCACCGGGCAGCCTTCGTTTTGTTCATCTCATGACTTTTTACAAAGCGCCAATCGGAATAAGAATTCTATGGCAGAGACCCAAATCTTTTGATCCGAAGCACTGACGCCTGTCACTTAATGATTGAGCCTTGCGTGAGACTTGGCCGAGCCTTCCTCCTGTCGTTTGCGAGGACGATGCCCGATGACGCACCAACTTTTGAGCCCCCACACACAGCTGTTTAGCCCGGCTAATATCCCTGTGACTTCTAATCACTTACAAAGGCGTGAAGTCAACCGTTCAGGGTAATGGGTCACCGACAATCCCTGCCCGGTGAAAAATGATGGAATAATTTCATTTCTGTTGAACGCAGTCACCTTTGGTCTTTTTGTCAAATCTGCATAATTGGAGGACGACTGAGGGAAAAATCAAGATCGGGCATGATTAAGACAGCGCTAATGCTGCCTCAACGACGAAACTAGGCCACGTAAGCATTTTGTTCCCACCAAAGCAAAACATCCATCGAGACCAACCGCTTCTCAATCAGTAGTAATGAAGTCGGGCATTGTATTGATAAAAACAGACTGTCTGGTGGATATGATGAAATCCAGGCCTAGCTACAAATTGCAGCCTAACATAGTTTGTCACTTCTTGTCTGGTAGCAATGTTCAAAAGGAACAAACGTAGTTGACAATGCTGCGTTGAAAATCACAAAAGTCATTCTTAGCCTGTTGGTCCCGTTTCCTCCATTACTAGTGCAAATAACACTGTGACTGTGTATTCCTCTACCCTAACAAATTAATTATTCAGGACACCAACTGAAAAGAAATGATTTTTAAGAGCACGACATTAAATTTATGGAGAATCAGCCTTTTTACTGCCGAAAAAGCTTTGTCCGTCAAAATGCGCCTTTGGACGGAGAATAAAAGACTTTCAAATTTGTGAACTAAAACAACGGCGACATTGACACAATTCACCGGAATTCACCCTCAATCTCACTATTTAATACAACTGGGGAAAAGCGGCAGAAAGACCATGCCATTTGTGGTTACAAGACAGAAAGGCAGGAAATAAATATTTTTGCAGAGGCATGGCTATTTCGTTCAAAATAAACAAAATAAACATCTGCATTCTGCCTTCAAGCAGAAGTTATATCATGCCGCTACAAGCCAGCATATAAAACCGTAAGAGGGCGCCCTGTGTGAAACATGGGACATGCGCCGTACGCTTTCTTCCTTCTTTGGGACGTGATTTGGTATTAAAAGACTGGCATAGGATGAATGGCACAGATATCATCGTTTCAAGCCTCATGGATAATCCATTACCTATTTCATTCCATTCAACACCCTACCCTTGGAGAGTACAAAACAGATATAAATAATTTTTCTACTGAATATTAACATCAACATAAATCATCTCTGAAAAAGGTTCACGGTCGCACATCAAGCGTAAGATTTATAAGCTCGTGAAAAATTATGAAAAAGAAAGAGAGGGTACTTATTAATGCATGTCTGTCACAACTTTTAAAGTATTCACGAAGTGACGTAGCTACCGGTCAGCACCCTAAGAAAAAATCGTTCTTGAACAAGTCACTCTTGGTTTATCATTACAAATAGGCCTACTAGTCTTAATTAAGGTATAGCTATACAGACCCATTAAATTGACATAAATGGAAACAAAAACAATATCAGTATTTGCTACAACCTTTAATTTACACTTTCTTTCAGTGAAATATTTGTAATTACTTTTTTACACATTTTTCACTAGTTATACTTCAACCCTTTTTCTGTGCGCAATTGTAATTTTGTTTTATTCAGTGAACACGACTATATACATCATACCAAAGTTTTCAATTACTAGTTTCCTAAAAAGGATACACTAAAATCTAAGTTATCGACAGTTCATTGCAAAAAACCCTTCTCATGTCCTGCAGCTGTAGACACTTTGGGGCATATGCAATAAACAATAGCAGAAATTTAAAATGGGGGGGGGGCACTTCAACAAATTAATGAAATCGATGGACGTCTTCCTCCGTTGTATACTTTTCTATAAAGCAGTGTTCAGTGATTACTTTTGGTGTAGGCAGAGGCGTGCTATGTGGCGGTGTGTCTCCTAATAATTATTCCTCTGCCGATTTAATAAAAAAAAGTGGCTTGGATTCGCGCGAGGTTAACCACTCTCCCCCCCGAGAGGGGAAGGGGGGGGAAGGAGACGGTGTCGTGCATTTTAATAAACATTGGCGAAGTGTTATAGGGTATCGGCAAGCCCCCTGGATCAATCCCGTTTAGATACTTGGGGAGGGACTGCGGATACAGCGCACTAGTAGATTATTTTTCCTGAGTGGTGCCGAGGGGAAGGTGGCAAGTGGGCCCGTTTTGGTTTACCTCCCCAGCGCGGCATGCGGCCCGTTCGATTGATGGGAATGACACGTTGATCGGAATACTAACGGGCACCCAATTTGGAAGCGATGGTCCAACCAAAATTCCGGAAGACTTATAAACTTCTGGGATCTAAAACAGGTCCAGATTTCTGTGGAAACTGATGGATACCAACTTCTTTTTCCACAAACATAATTTTGATGACTGTCTTTGTAACTTCATAATGTTGCGTTCTACATTCAAGTGTAATATCAAATCAACTACGTCAACTTTAGCTTTGGAATTTCTTCGTTAAAATCTTCGTGGAAGAGGTATAGAAAACTCTCCTTTTCAGCTCTTTAAAATAGTGGCTTTGCTTCCAAATTCGTCGATCCCTTAGGAAAATCCGGCAAAGCCTGAGGACGAAACAATGTACGTAGCCTCCCGGATAACAAGCGCCTTTTGGTGTGTTGGTCGGTGTCCACTTCAACCTAGACCCTAAAAACATCAAATTAATAGAAATCCCCCCAATTATCCCTCCAGACTTCATTTGAATACCTTCCGAGGACTACAACACCTTGCCATAGCTTTGTACTTTTTATTGTGGGAAATCGTCTTCATTTGAAGCAGGTGATGCAACGGTCGAATTGTCGAGATTTCATCGTTCTATAAAATAAAAATCAAATGGAACATTAAATTTGGATGGCAAAGTTTTGTCTTGTGTATCGCATCATTATTCAATATCCAACGCGCCTGTGTTTTGGTAATTCTTCAGTAGGGATGAGGGAAATTGCAAGCCTAAGTATAGAGGCCGGGGGAGAGGCTCCACATGTAACACAGGCACTCACGGCAACAATTTAATCTGATCGATAATTTCTAATTCCCCAAATTCATTGCAAGTGGTCGAGCGGTTCTTGTTCTACCCGAGATTCACGTTGCTCCACCCACTCTGTAGACTCTGCCTAAAATCATCTCACGTTTTCGCTTTTGGGGGGCTCAAACTGATTGACTTGTACTGGCGTGTTTGCCTCCCCCCCCGCCGCTCGATCGTTGGGGTTGTCATATTATTGTTCCAGCCCCCATTCAACGTTTTGGCTTTGTCTCTATGTCTTCTTTTCATTACCCACGGTCTCGTGGCCAAAGACGCATCGCAGAGAGACACAATTAAGGTCCCAAACATTTTCGGTTACTTCTAACAAGCAGCGAATATCAAGTGGCGGAGGGGATCCTTTCTGGGCCAATCGATTTTTGGCTTGTGGGGGGTGTAATCGACCCCCCTTACAGGACCGTCAACACACTGCTGGCCGCGGCCCAGATCAATGGCGCGTTTCAGTAATTGGGTTTTCGAATCGGCGACATGGGTAAAGTTGGCGTTTTATAGACGCCCCTCGTGTGTTTTTTTTCTATTCTTCTCGCTCGGCTAGTCTGGCCGCGGGCCTTTGTGAACTTACATGCGACATTGTGTATAAAGCCCGCCAACCAACGGCCATGTTAATGAGCACCTCCTTCCGTTCAGCGCAGAGACTCCTCCAGGGGATATTCCTACCCGCGATACGTTAAAGGCAATATCGGGTTTGGGTAATGTAGGCCTCCATCATTTCGAGAACTTCAAGATGAGGACTGAAAATCTACGACGATTGATGCTAATGGTTTCGCAGAAAAGAAGGCTGCTCATCTTCCATGACAGTATCCGGGAAGGGAAATTCAACCTGATTGAGTACAGATTTAACCACAGAAAAAATTGAGAACTTTTCATTAAATCGTTGTCAAAAATTATAACAGAAGCCATCATTTGCATTCAAACCCGAAATAACTGAAAGCAGTAGGCTGACAAAGTGCGTGTGACTCGAGCTGATTAGTTTTGCCTGTAAAAAAAATGAAAACAAATATTATCGAACCTTTCTACTCAGTGTTGAATTCAAAACTCTTGCCAAACGATGAACCAACACCAATGGTATGAGACATTCCAGAAACAAACTCTGCGGAAAGCCTGCGAAACTATAAACAACTCCATCCACAACAAAAAATTCTTGAATTGCTATGGCTACGTGCACGCGAGCTGATTTCGCTTGCAGACCCCCCCTCCGCACACACACACACTCATCTCGGCGCTAGTTTGAGTACACGACAAGTCACGATGATATATAGCCCCAGGCTTATTTCCACATAGAGTTCAAGCATTTCGATCTCATCAGACAGCCTAGATATGACCAAGATTACAAATAATTCTGGAGGAAGTTCGTGCGTGCTTTCCTCATGGAATTCTTCAAAATAGCCATGTTTATTGCCGTGAACGACGAAGGATTCACTTCCTACTTGACTAATAAGTCTTCACTGGTTGGTGATGGATTTAAAAAAAAAAATTATACATTAATCTATAACTCTATAAAATAAACCATGGAGCTGAACAGCCTTCAAGTTAATTACCTTGTTCCGTTTTTTACAGAAAAGATAAACTACCGGTACATTCAGCTGAAATCAATCGAAAATCTTCACTTAAATGGTTTATCCCATCGGGCGCTTCCTTCATGCATTTTTATGCCCAGAGGTTTTTTGCCCTACCAGGATACTCAAAGTCAGCGATAAGCATAGAAACAGTGTACAGATAAGACGTTACGTTGCTGAGTATTAACTTTGATTAAAAAAGTATAGAACTGTCGGATATTTATGAAAACAGATTGCTTTCAAGTCTGTTAAACTTCAAATGCGCCGACTGATCGAGTTTAATGACAAAATTGGGGTGACTGCAACGGCACCGTGAGTGCACGAATTTTGTAATTGAATCTGTGCTCCATCAAAAGCTGACTTGCCAGCCCTGCTGTCTGATTTTCAGCGCTATAGAGTAGTGACTGTACAAAGCATCCAACTGGCACACACGGTGCTTCAATCCATGATCTCATCTCATCCATTACTGTAGCCAATCAAAAATCGTCACTCCGGGTCAAACTTTTTCCAATTGAAAAAAAAATTCACGCGTGCACGTCCCATAAGTCACGCGAAAAAGCTCGATAGAGCGCCCTCAATTAATGCAATTAACAGCGTCCTCTGTTGACAAAGTAAATAGCTCCACAGTAACCCCCCCTCCCCGTTTCTTTAGCGCTGTACATACGGTGCACTCCGTGCATGACGTCACCACACGAAACTCGCGCTGCACCGAAAACCCACTTTCAGAACACGGACAGACACACTACAAACAACACGTGAGGCCGGCCGGGTGCAGTGGCACGCGTGCATGTGTGCAGTACACACATGTACATGTACACTGGGCACTGTATCATGAAGAAATTAGTCTTTGAGGAATTGCTGGCACACCTACGTGATGACATTGATGGAGCATGGAGGTAGAACCTCCATGGATGGAGTAAGTACAATGAATTTTGCCATTATACATGTAATTCCACACTTTACAGGAATAAAGTTCATAGGCCTTGGGCCTACATGTAGTTCTTCAGTTGAGAGCATCATGGAGGAAGGTGAGAGCATGATGAAGGAAGGATCACAGAGACCATGGAAAATGGAAAAGACCATGTTGAGACTAGTAAACATGTAAATATAGGACTGGGGTCAGCCATGGAGGAATGTCTACACTCACTGGCTACAGTACATGAGCATGGCCCATCTCTGTAAAAATGACCTGAGGAACTGTAGTAGGCCTATACTATCTGACTTTAGGCCTATGCCCACTGAGATTTTGCACACATCTTGCAAATCGTTTCTTGTGTGCATCACACAGTGCACATGCAGCAACAGCTAGCCAAGAGCCAGCAAAGCCAAGCTAGTTCCGCAAGTCATTTCGACTATTTCTGGAGGTGGCATTGTTTAACCATAACCTGTCACAGCTAGCAAAGCACTTGGTCTGATGGTATCAATCCAGTCACGCAGCTCAGAGGCCACTCGTGCAATAACAAGATTCCACCCCCTCCTCAATATATGAACAAACTGACCTTGCTAAATTGGCCATTGGCCCGTGCATGTGCACTGTGCCTGTGATGTACACAGATTGTTCAGTACATTGTGATTGTTGGGAGGAAAACAGGAGATATGTGAGTAAACCCTCCAATTGTTCAAAATAAGATTGTTCTTAAAAGTCTAAAACCGGCATTAATTACACAGTTTTCAAGAGTTATATACATGTAGATACCTTAAGGTTGCTCTCATGTGAAAATTTGATTGAAAAAGTTGAATTTGCGTCAGCAGTCATAATACCTCAAAGGCTGGATTAAAAAAACAGATAGCATTGCAATCCTGTATAAACAAACATGGCCGCAAGTCACACAGATTAGTGACTTCAGAACATCCCGTAGGCATACCCCACAGTTTTTGGGGTAAACCTAAACATGGCCAATATCTTTTCTCCATCAATCATGTTCTTATTCTCGGCCTGGGCCTGTCACCTAGCACAGATTGGAGGGCACTTTCGGTCTCTTCAGTTAGGGTTATGAGACCTGGGTGGGACCATGAGAGGGCACAATTTTCCTAGCAACAGAGGCTCCTCTGGTGGGAACTGCACCACAGGAGACTATGAAGTACACGCATCACGGTTGTGTCACTACCAGTAAATGAACTCTCCCCACCAACATGCATGACATGGCTCTTTTTGACCAATGAGGGGGTGCTTCTGCTCAAGGCGGATAGACCTACATGTGCATTTCAGAAAGAATTCCATAATGTATGATGTACACTTATCTGGGCTTTTCTTCCCACCTCTAAGACTGAACATCTCTTTATTGTCTTCTTCACTCATTATCATCCTGTAATTGGTGCTAAATGCGCTGTTGGATGATCAGATAAATAAACAAAATAAATGTAGATGTAATATGGATCGGGTTTGACACCCTTTGCACAAATGGACCACGGAGGAAGAAACCTTAGGACACTGGTCTGGAATGTTCAAGTGTTTTCTAAGTGAATAGCAGCAACATTTTCACTGCTAAATTTTGACCTTTTAGGACACTTTTTTCAAATTGCTTTGAGATGGTTGGTATTACCTACCGGGTATACTAATAGTGACCACTGGCCACCATAGGGAAATTTTACTGCCATCAGTAATGGATTTCTTTCCATACATGTGGGCCAACATCGCGACTAACATCAAGGATATCAAGTAATCGTGCCATTGCATCTTGACTGTTAACGTTCCCTCACGTGGCTCACTTGAAAAAATTGCCAAAAACCCTACATAAACATTTTAGAAGTTCTGTAAACTTGATTATTTCTATTATTACCTCAATTTACATACGCTTAAACAAAAGTTTGTCCGGAACTATTTTTAATTTTTGGGTAGGTTTAGAAGGAAGGACTGAAGGAAAAAAATTGGAAAATTGAGCCAAAATAACAATTTCATTGGAAAGTTTTCGTGGGTGAGTAAAATCAGGAGTTTTGAATTAGAGTAGTAGGAGTTTGATGACATTTAACTTACTTTGAAATTTGAGGTAAAAATGTTGCTCCGGCAAGGCACTGGAGGCAAAAAATCAAATTGCGCCAAACTTAGGGGGCATGCAGGTAGGGGGCTTCAACAATAAATGAAGGATGTTGCTGTGACAACTGTAAAAGCTGAAGGGATGCATTTCGGTTTTTTGTTTTTATTGTAGGAGGAAGTCATTAAGAGAAGATGATGGAGCAAGGAGTGGCCAATAAGTGGGCAGCATTAGTGGAGAGCACAGAACCTGAGTAAGTTCCTTCCCAGCACCAGGTTATTCAATGACAAGCTGGATTGAGAAAGTGACCTTTATTCCTGCAAGTTTACTCTTTTTCTTCCGTACTGTCTTAATGCCAACCTTCCCAAATCCTTCAAAATCCAACAGGAGTTTTGTGGAAGATTGAGGAAGGTAGAGCCCATCCCACCCTCTTTGAATTCAAATGGGACTTGATGTGTCTGTAGAATTTTGGAGAATGTATCATTCTGGGGAGGATTTTTTAGGATTCGGAAAGGTTTCCAGGATCCAGGTTATTCCAGGTCTTTCTTTGCTGTCCTTAAGTCTTGCTGCTTAAATAATCATTACTTTGTTCACACTTTGTCATCTCTGACAAGTTTGGCCTCACAGAACATGATGAAGATGATTCTGATGTTAGCCGTAGCACAGACAGTGAAGGTAAGTACATGTATTTTGTCCAAAGAGGCCCTAGCTATCAGAAACAAAATGAACAATTCTATACAAAACCTTTGTACTGTGACCTCCTTCGTCCGACAAATTCAACAATGCGATGCAGCTTTCCTCTAAGGAAAGATACTGCTTACATTTTAGGATCATTTTTTTTTTCAATTTTTTATGATGAAGTCACTACACTGTTTTCACTGCTGAAGTTAAGACCAAGAGTCAGCGATGGCATCAGTATTTTATCTCCTTTTTGGAGGACTCAAGTGACAGCCACTCTGACAGTGATGAGGAGCAAGAACAGTGGATGGAGAAAACAGCAAGTAGAAAAGCTGTCACTCTTCAGTCATATTTGTCATCTGTGAAGAAATCAATTTTTGCAGGTAGATTTGGCCCTGGTACTTCCTAACATCTTAACCCTAGAAGAGCTTGGTTACATTGGACCACCTCACAGCCGGCAGCAATCCCCCAAGAATTGGGCTTTTCAATGCTGACATTTTTTATAAACTTCGTATGCATGACTTTCCTTCTCAATACAAGAATTGAAGTTTTATCTCAATCTGTCATATGATTTGACAGTCACTTGGAAGTTTGGAATGGCAGCAGAAAGTATGCATTCTTGGTTGACTTCTGTCAAAAAAAAGGTGCTGTGCGAGAACGGTATGTTGGATTTTCACGAGAATGGTGTCAGAATGACCAAAAAGGGTTATTAAACAAAAAAACGTCAGAAGGCTTCTGGAAAATATGCTCCTTGATAATATTGGAAAATATTTTAAAAGGTAGTAGATTCCCTTCCCCCAGCTCCTTAGGGTAAAATTCAGAGGTTCTTCAAGAAATTTCCACTCACCCAGCCTGTTACACCCTGCACTCCCCAGCACTGTATAGTTTCATGGATTTAACAGCGACCCACAGTAAGAGTCTATGTGGTGATGGGTTGAAACGTAGATGTTTTGCTCATTTTTGGAACAAATTATTGTTACAGTGTGACTGAAAAACCCTAGGTTTTTTGTCATTTTTCCATGTGTTTAGATTTGGGAAGGCCTCCTTGCCAGGTGAATGCACTGCCATGGCTGCCGATATGATTGTTGAGGGTAGCTAGCGTCATGGCGGACTGACCGATGATATCTCCAAAGTGAAGAGGCAGGTTACATCATAAGTAGGACAGGTAAGAGTCCTGTGTTTCATATCATTGCTGGCTTTCTGCAAGGATGAATCTGGGAAAGGGGGAGGGGCCAATTGGGGTCATGACCAAAACAGGAGTAGAAATGGCTGTCATTTGAAAAAAAATGAAAGGATCTTTTTGGTCTATTTAATTTCCCTTCTTTTGAAAAGTGAAAATGTAGCCTAGCCTCTCAAGCAACTGTAAAAATAAAAAAGTATTTTGCCCCAGAATCAGGTTTGTCCCCCCTCCCCAAAAACAAATTGGGTCCTGGATCCACCCTTGGGTGCTTGTGGCTAGCTGTTAGGGCAACCCTGACCCAGGGATGGTTGTGTGCATTGTGTCAACCAAGCAAGACGATAGGGATGAGGTTAAACCCTTGTAACCAGGGCAAGCTAGTTGAATGCACCCACTATACTGGAATTCTTCACATTTTCCTGGCCTAAAGTTCCTTGTTGTAAACACTTTAACAGTATTATCAGTCACCATCCAAAATTTCTGGTTTGCATCCAACTCAACAGACTTGTGCACACTGTTGAAATATTTCTGCCCACACTTTTGGGATCAATCGTTTTCTGTAGGAGCTTTTGGTCCATAGATATTTTAGGTTTGTGGTCTTCCCTGATTGATGTTACAGTATTACTGTAAAACAGCGCCCTCACTTGTCAGGAAAAGGGAAAGGCAATTTTAAGTGTTTCAAAATTGCACTTTTTGATTCACGGAACCCTAAAGGGATGTCTGGAAAAATATTTTTCAC